TGAAGTGCCAGCGCGTGCAGCCTGGGGAGGAGTCGTGCATGCCGGGCAGGGCGAACGCCTTCAGCTCGTACCACGGCTCGGACACAAACTGCAACAAGAGGACCGCGTTAGGGGGCCTGAGCCAAGCGAAAACTTGTTGTGCTCCTTTGCACCCACTCACCTGTTCCACGTCCCAATCGGCCAGCGGTGTGCTGAAGGGGCAGATGCCCGGCTCGACTATCTGCGCTCTCACTCCCGGGGCGGGAGCCCCTGGGAGGCCGGCCAGCGCGCCCAGCCAGACCAGCCAAAGCCCCGCAGCCCAGCCCATGCTGTCCTCGGCTGCAACGTGTAGACGTGAGTCTGTCGCATATCTCCGGTATCTCTGGCGTGTTAATCGTCGTGGTGGGTGAACTCACCAGCAGTTTGGCGCGACCGTGACAGTGAGAGGGCCGAGTCTGCGGGGTATGGCCGAGTCCGAAATAGAATAGAGGGGTAGGCAAGGCGCTTTGAGCCGCATGGGAAAAATCGGTCTTGTGTATACAACTTGTGTTTGTGTTTTTTGCGAGTAAGGCCCCCGGCACCTCTCTCATGGGGTTCGAGGTCTTTGGAAGCCTCAGGGAACATCAAGGCCAGGGCTCTGCGCACCGCCAGAAACGGCGATATCGTTTCGCGACGTTTTGTGTGACGCTTTTCGTAGCGCTAGCAACAAAAAAAGTGGGCCAAAGAAATCGACATCAAAACGATATCGTTATATCGCCCATATTTCGGAGTCGCTGCATTTCTTACGGCTCGATACGCTCATTAGGTACTGGATCTAGTCCTAGACCAAAGACGGTTGAAATGGAAATTTGTGTGAATAGTGTGAGAGTATGTTTGTTCAAGTTCAATTTTACTTGGTTAACTCAACCATTTAGTCGACTCCGTAGGCAGGATTAATACATTTTTATTTGTGGAAGAAGAGGAAGCTACCTGATCCTTGATCCCAGTGAAGCTCTACAATGAGCCATTCCGCTGAAACGAAATGGTAAGGAAGAACATCAAGATGGCCACAGTGGAGCCAAGCAAACATCCAATTGTATTCAAATTCGCCTGCTTTTGCTGAGAGCAAACTATGTCTTATAAAATGTTTTCGTCGATTTTCAACATTTTCCTCAACATTTAAGGGCATTGTTGTTGTTCACGGGACATTTTTGTTGCATCTTCAGCAGACGAATTTACAAACGCTTGAATGTTTGTTTGGCTCCACGGCGGCAATCTTGATGTTCTTCTTTACGATATCGTATCGGCTAAATGGCTCATTAAACGGACTGCTGGCTGCACTATAGCAAAAGGCACATGTTTTTCTTTCTCTCTCCGCGTCCCCTATAGGACCTCATCCCTGCCTCCCTCCCTTCTACGCCACAGAGTTGCGCCGGGTCCTCAGCAGCTTGTTCCAGGGCGCGGCGTGGAAGGACTCGTAGGTGGTGACGCCCGTGGCGCCCACCGGGCCCGCGTGCTCGGCCAGCTTCCTCTCGTGGACGTTGGCCAGCCAGCGGGTGAAGCTGTCGTGCGCGCGCCGCTGCCGCTCGGCCGCCGACTCGTCGGCAGCCTTCTGCGCC